TTTTAATCAGATTGGAATAAGCCAATGAAGAATTTTAATTTTTTTGCAGTTATATTAAAGATTATTATTGTTATTACCGGTACATAGCATAGAAATCGTATCAAACAAAATGTAGAGAGTCAACTGGTGCTTTAAGATTCATTGTTGTGTGTCAAGTAATCTAAAAGTGCTTTAATTAATTTATAATTTTATTTATTTTAATTTAGAACAACCCAAGAGATTCATGATTGAAGTGATTGAAAGGCTGAGAGAAGCAAGAACAACACAACTTGACTATCCATGTATATTTGATGATTCTAACATAATAGCTATATTTGGTATGCTGGATCCGACAAAAAAAGGTTTTATTACACTGGCACAATACAAGGAAGGTAAGATATCCCACCTGCCTTTCACTTCTTCTGTAGGTTCTTCTTTGGAATGACATGGTTATGACTGGAAGTTTGTTTTTTAAACATGTTCTAGGTTGTAAATTATTGAATTGTGTATGTAACATGTGTTATGAAATCTTGTCTCAATAAAAGCATGTAAAAACTGGGAATCAAACCCCATTTTCATTTTTTTCTCCATGGACTTGCAGTGAATAGAACATATGTTATCATTGAAGAAGGCTTAAAATGCAAACTAGTCAGCAATGGTCTCAATGTGATAAGAGCAAATTATCCTGCTACAAGGTTATTCTATAAAGAATAGCCTAATTGCAATTTTATTGTTTTTATTTTGAATTCTATAATTATTGAAGTCCCATGTCTTGCAGCCTTGCCACAAGAAAAAATAAAAAAAAAAAAACACAATTTTACCTCAGTTACATGTTTCACTGTAAAGCATTTGAGACTTGTTCACATCTATGCCATAATGGTGTACATGTGTTGAAGTATAGTAACAATAATCATGGAGGTAAAAAGCAATGGAGCCTGCCTCAACACGTAGTTTCACATTGGAAAATAGGCTTACCCATTCTAGGCTTGACTCAATTTCAAGAACCTAAATGTTTAGGCCAGCCTGAATAACTCAATGCCTGGAAAAGGGTGCCAGGGCTGACCCTAATTTGAATACCCAGTTAGGCCGGCCTAATGTAAATACAAAATTATACCAATTAGAAGCAATGCATTGAGGTTCACCATGTTGAACACTTCTGACACTACAATTCTGCATTCCAAAGTAGGAATTTTAAGTCAGTTTAAATAATTTTAATCTTGTTTATTCAACAAACAAAAAAATTAGCAGGCATTAATAATTTTATTCAACACGAAAATCTACTACAGAGAGTAATTTTATGGTTGTAAAACAAGAACAGAAATAATACTTCACACAACTAATATCACAAATAGCACATTAAACATAAGCTAATGTTATTGTTTAGTACAAAGCAAGACGGAAGTACAGTTCAATCCACCAGAATCACAAATAAAACATTGAATACATGTAACTAAGAATGGAGGAAAAAA